TAGCTCACCGTTATCGCTGCTGAAGTCATCGTAGTTGTCGCTGTTGTCACTGGAGGCATCGTCGTCGTCGTCCTGGGAGAAATCGATGCCATCGGGCGACAAGACGCTGCCGGTGCTCAGCGAGGAGAAGCTCTCGGCCTCGGCCAGCGAGCCGGTGGAGAGTAAATGCTGTCGCGGCTCACGTCGCATCCAGATGTGCTCCAAGCCCAGATGCGTAGGCGCCGACGACGAKAGRCGCGATAGCTGAGAGTTCTCCACAGAGGTGCCGCCAGTTGGATAGCCAAAGGATTTGCGCATGTTGCCAGGCGTGGCGGCAGTTGCCGTGATGACCACCTGGCCGGGGCTCTGGTTGGAGCTGGCGTTTGCCGTGGCAGTTGTTGTGCTGTTGCCGCTGGCAGCGCTGCCAAAGCCGCTGCTGCTGCCGCCCGGACTGAGCGCGGCCGTCTGGCTGAGCAGCGAGTGACGGTCGGGCGGCGAGGACATGGCCATGCCCTTCTTTGCCAGCTCCTGCATGTTGCGCGACTTGACCAGCTGGTATTGCGAGCGGCTGGCGTGCGGCGGTGGGGGTGGCGTCAGTGGCGACTGCGATGCCTGGCTGCCCGGCGAGAAGCTCGAGCCCAACTGAGATGGCGGCTTCTGTGGTGTGCTGTGGAACAGCTCATAGGTGTCCGCTTGCTGTTGTTGGGTCTGCGAGAGCAAAACTTCCAGCTGTGCCTGTTGCTGCTGCTGGTGCTGTTGGTGCTGCTGCTGCTGCTGCTGTTGTTGTTGCTGCTGATGTTGCTGCTGCTGCTGCAGCAGCTCCAGAGGTAGAGCATCTTGGGTTTGCGATTGCGGCGATAGCAAAAAGTTCTGTGCCGGCAGAAACTCCTCAATGGTGCTCATCACGTCCAAGAAATCGCCGCCATTCAATTCGGCCAGCTCGGCCTGCATCTCGGCCTTGTCGTTGGGAAAGATGTAATCGTCGTCCAGGCTAAATGGCTCGTTTTTGGTATGGACAATGGCGCTGCTAATGTCGCTCCACATGGCATTCGAGTTGGGCGTCATCTCGTAGAGCAATGCGCTGCCATGGACCACATCCTGCAGCAGCGATTGCTCCGATGGCAAATTCAGGCTGAGGCACGAGCTCAGATCGGGCGTGAAATAGTTGCTGCTGCCGACGCCGGCGCCGGCAGCGCTGCTGTTGCCACCAGCATTGTGGCCGCCCGAATCGTTGGCACTGCTGCTGTACAAATTGGAGCTCAGCGGCGAGGTGGCGCCCAGGCTGACGTCCTGCAGCAGAGTTGGTGACAACGAAGCCGCATCCAATGCGTCCAAACCAAAAACGTTGAGTTCACTCAGCTGCAGCGATTGCTGTTGCTGCTGCTGCTGCTGCTGCTGTTGTTGTTGCTGTTGCTGCTGCTGCTGCTGCTGCAATTGTTGCTGCTGCGCCATGCTGGGCAAACTGTGCAAATGATGCTGCTGCTGGCGTGGAGTCGGTGTCAATGTTGGCGTTCCGCTCAGCTGCTGATACGGATGATGGTGGTGGCTATGATGGTGGCTCTGATTGGAATTGTTGCTGCGCGGTATGCTAATTGCCGTTGTGCTCAGCATTACATTCGACGTGTAGCTGTTGCTGCTGCTCGAAATGGCACTCGAATTGTTGTTGTTGCTGTTGCTGTTGCTATTGTTGTTGCTGTTGCTGTTGCTGCTGCTGTTGTTGTAGCTGCCGGCTTGTATGCTCAGCGAGGGCGTGGCCAGTGCATATAATTCGTATTTCAACGGATTGCTGCTGCTGTTCGA